CTATAACTCCAGAAACACAAATTGGAGAAAACCATCAATGTGTAAACGAGACCTATAAATCAGAATGTCAGGTGGGCATAGTTCCATTTCAATAACTAGTATTTAGAGATTATTGGATAAAACATTCCATGGACACAAATTTATGGTCCTCAGATCCCTCCAGGATGCCACCACATCCCTGTGGGAATGTAACCGCCTTTGTTATTGTTTCCTAACAATGAGAATGATAAGTTAGTGACAGGAGAGCAAACTGCCTATTCAAGGTTTTCAATGACTTACTGTAGGCTTCCTTTTCTAATGCTAGTCATATAATCTTCTTCTCCTTTAACGTTGTGTGTATATCTATTTTTTATGTGCAAAGAGGCTTTGTTTCCATGAGCATCAACCCAAGAAATGCCCAGCATGTTTTCCAGTTTCCCTATGTTGATATCTACGTACAAGATGGAGACTATTAGTCCACAAGAATCAATATGAAGAGCAAACAAGAGAAACGTCAAGGAAAAATACCGCTTCTCAAGAGTTCTTTTCACTCCTTTTCTCTTTCATGGTATAAGCATGAAAACATATTCAAATAATATTAATATAAATATACGTTAGAGGTGTGCTGAATGATGGCCCACTCCAGCATGCCTGTCTGGAGAATTCCATGGACAGAGGAACCTCGATGGGCTACAGTCCATGGGGTCACAAAGATTTGAATACAACTGAGCGACTAACACTTTTCACTTTAGCAAGGCTCCTGTAAAAGGTTAGAACCCGGAGCAGCTGCATCAGTGGGGCTACATACCTTTTTGCAAATAAATCTGCAGGGCAAACAATCAACTGCTGCTGGGGGCTTCTACTGGGAAGAACTACCCATGGAAGCTATGCAACCCATAAGGGATTCTTAATGCCATATTAAGAAGTTACAAACCTGAAGTGAATATATAGGTGACTAGCATAGTTAAACGGTGACAGAATTGAGGATATTTGATCCTCTCCCTTGAAAGAGCCATCAATCTTAGAATATATAAGAGAAAATAGATTTAAAACATTACAGCAGGAGGCTGAAGGCAGAAGTATCACCTCACCCCCAGGCAGATAAAATATCAAGTGTTTCCATGAGGTATGTATGTTAGGGACTAAACAAGGACAGGTGAGCAGGTAAGACTGGACACCTGGGGAACAGTGCAGTTACAGAGGAGCCACTGTTTGTAGTTCAAGTTGAATTTCCACCACTCTAACTGTTACTTGATAGTCAAATGCATCTATATATTTTATTAAAGAATAGAGATTTTGAAGAGTATTAGCATTCTTTGGCTTCTAATCAAACATTATGGAAGTGTAAGACCTAATGTACTTAGATGTTCACAAATTCCTGTGTGAAAGGAAAGGACTGACCTTCAGAACAGAACTATAAGAAGTCATAAAATAAACACTGTCCAGTAGACATAACACAAAATACCGCTTGAGTAATTAAGATGACAGCAGAAGCATAGCAGTTGGCCAAGAAGACATATCTCACTTGTTTTCAGTTGCATAAAGACACATCCAACTCATTCTGGATTATGTCTGTATCTGCTAGGTTTACTTTCATAGTTAGCATCGAAGAGTTCTTGTATAAGTTTCCCCAGCATTGTATGAAAGAATTCAATCTTCCCTCAACTGCCTTCATGCATGCAGTGTGATCTACCAACAGATGACTTCTGATTCACCTGATAATGGACTTTTCCCAAACCTGTCCTCAAAGGACCTGTGATAAGCGAGACAAAAGTCTAAGACTCAACAGTTAACTGTGCTTTTTTGACCATAAAATTTATACTGTATTAAAAATGAAGTATTATTTGTTGAAGTCTTTTAGAAGTACAATTAATTTGTCCATCTTTTATGGAGGTTGAAGAAAGGGAAGTTATCAGAGGAATCTTTTGATTACCCTGAGATTATACTACACAAAATGTACTTCTTATCTAGTAACCAAGGCTTATTTTTATAGTTTTCCACCTAACTTTCTGCCTTCTTCACTGAGGACTTTTAATAACATTTCACTGAGCTCTTGGTTTCTTCCTTTCCTGCGTGTAACTCCTGTCAAACGTTCCCAACCCTCTTGTCAAATCCCAGAAGTAATTTTGCTCTGGACTAAGTATCAGAGCCCTAGCTATTTCCGCAGTCTGCCACTCATCCACTGAGAATAAAATCCTTCCTTAAAATGAAAACCATCGAGCCCCATAGGCCTGGTTCTTTTCTTTTCCCAGCGGCAGCAGCAGTCAGCAGACGTCCTTCCAGGCACAGAGCTAAGTCCATTCTTTCATAGTGTCCAACAGAGGGGCACGTGCCACTCCAGCCAACCTCAGTGCTCTCTTAGGAAGCCTCCTCACCCAGCACACACTCATTCACCAGATAGCTGCTAGCTGTCAGGCACTACTCTAATCACTGAGGCATAACAGTGAACGAGAGACAGAAGTTCCCACCCTCTCAGGGAATACACATCAATGAGAAAGAGACCAGTCGAGACTTGTAACATGGCAGAGTTGCTCTCTGTAAAGGTCCATGTTATAAATGACTCGTGGGAATCCCGAGCACCTTTCAGTTTTTTACTTTATTATACTGTGTTTCTGACACATTCTGTGATATTCAAAATGGGAGAGTGTGGAGAAAGCTCTGGGGAACAGAGTTTGTGATTTCTTCATTCACCAAGGAGTCTCTTCAACCAGATGCCCCGCTTTCTGCTCTACCCAAAACTTTGTTTCTAAGCAATGCCGGGAAAGGACTCTGTTATGAGTATGTGTGTATAAGGGGGACACATGGGGCTGTATCTTTTCAGAGAGTAATGAAATTATACTACTTGGTGATTAATAAGAAGAGGGATTTTTAATTTTCTCTAGATTAAAACATAGTTCACTTAATCTTTGTAGGGAGAAGTTAAAGGTATACACCCGTAGAACATATTTGTAATTATAACCCATTTTATTGACTTTTCAGTCAATCAAAATTGCCAAATGGGAAGGAAAGTTCTTACCATTAACATAAACTTTGCAAGAAGTTTAGCTCCCACATGGACTTATAAATTCACTAAACCAGTAATTTTTCAAACTGAAACTGTACTGGACAGTCCACAATACAATCAGGTAACACTAAGACTCAGCTTGCAAACCCAGCTGGCAGTGGGCTCCAGAGCCTGGCCCACCTCAGCATTCTTGCAGAACCCCTCACACACTTGGGAATGCGGTCTGAAAGCTGCTAATCTAGGTCAAATCCTCTTGCTCACATTTGGAAGAAACTGAGACCCAAGGAGATTAAGTTATTTGCTGAAGGCCTCCCAGCCACTGTACAGTGCAGCAAGGATTGAGACTCAGGCCTCCTGCCACAAGCTCTGCCCAGGGCCATTTCTCCCAGTGAAAATGTGAAGGCACCTTACTGGCTGGCTCTCATTGTCCTATATTTAAAGAAAACTATAAAAATCAAGGGATTCCTCTGTTGTGTGACCCAAGGCTGTTTGAATTCAAATCTCTTTGCTTTGCAATGCTGGAAAACCATCTCCCTTGCACTTTGGAGCAAGTTTTCAGGCTCTGCTCCCTGCAGCCTAGCAAGAGGCAGATCCTTATATACCTAGAAGCTGGAGAAAGAGGTGTGCTGGGAATAAGGGGAGGGAGACAGATTCCTGAGTTTCTCTGTTCACTGTAGGTGGGGGCTGAAGTATTCTTGCCCAAGGAAGTCCTACTTAACAGATAGGCTTGATAAGCTATACCTGGCAGCATGTGTCCCCCAGATGACTCCAGAAATTGGCCATAGTTTATCACCTCTCCTTATAATGCTCACAAAGGACGTTCTAAACCACAGGGCTAAAAATAAATAAATAAATAAAAATAAACCACAGGGCTTCATGAGTTGGGTCCCCAGTAAGGCTGGACCTTCCTTCCTTGACTCCAAATTTATGTCATTAGAAAAATTATGCGTGCTTAGTCGCTTCAGTTGTGTCTGACCTTGCAACCCTATGGACTGTAGCCTGCCAGCCTCCTCTGTCCATGGGATTCTCCAGGCAAGAATACTGGAGTGGGTTGCCTTGCCCTCCTCCAGGAGATCTTCCCAACCCAGGGATTGAACCCACATCTCTTATTTCTCCTGCACTGGCAAGCTGATTCTTTACCTCTAGTGCCACCTGGAAAGCCCCATTAGAAAAATTAGTGTGCATTTTTTAACAGATAGGAAGGTTGACTATACCTTTTCTTTTGACTTCTACTTGGGGAGGGAACCTGGTGTCTAACAAATGTTGGTGTCTAACATTTGAGGAGAAGGCAATGGCACCCCACTCCAGTACTCTTTCCTGAAGAATCCCATGGACGGAGGAGCCTGGTGGGATACAGTCCATGGGGTCGCGAAGAGTTGGACACAACTGAGCAACTTCATTTTCACTTTTCACTTTCATGCATTGGAGAAGGAAATGGCAACCCGCTCTAGTATTCTTGCCTGGAGAATCCCAGGGACAAGGGAGCCTAGTGGGCTGCTGTCTATGGGGTCGCACAGAGTCGGACACGACTGATGCGACTTAGCAGCAGCAGCAGTAACATTTGAGGAAAAGATGGGGGCAGGGGCGAGAACTGGGAAGTCCTCACTTTTGTCTTCTAATTTGACCTCCAGGCTCTTTTGCAGTGGGTTTTGGCAGGAATAGAGCCTAAGGGTAGGAGAGAGAGGCCCTTCTGAGTTTGCAGTAACTTACTTTAGCTCCTTTATCTAGGCAGCTTCCTGGTCTATCTGAACCACAGCCCACTTCCCTCCCTGCCTGTCACTGATAGAGCCCTTGCCAGATGCCCTCGTAATATTCCCAACAGGCAGCCCTTGGCCTTACCCAGCCTGAGGCGGAATGACTTGATCAGTTTAGAATAAACACTTCATATTTTAGAAAGCTAAGCCACAGACATTGGGTTTCTGTCATGCCAAAAACACATAACACAGAAACTACAGCCTTTCAGGACTATTTGTGACATGTGTTATTAACATGAAATCTACACTGCCCATCTTTTCAGGAAGAAAATGAGATCCCTGCCAGTGTGTTTGTGAAAGAGCCAGTTTCCAGCCCAGGAGAAGGGAAGGAGGGGGAGCATGCCGATGAAAACAAGTCCCTGGAGGAAACTCTGCACACAGTGGACCTCTCATCCGATGATGAATTGCCCCAGGATGAGGAGGCCCTGGAAGACAGCGCAGAAGAAAAGATGGAAGAGAGCAGGGCAGAGAGAATAAAAAGATCCAGTCTCCGGAAAGTGGATAGCCTCAAAAAGGCATTTTCTCGCCAGAACATTGAGAAGAAGATGAACAAGCTGGGGACAAAGATCGTATCTGTAGAGAGGAGAGAGAAGATTAAGAAATCTCTCACTTCCAATCACCAGAAAATATCCTCAGGGAAAAGCTCCCCCTTCAAGGTCTCTCCTCTCACTTTTGGGCGAAAGAAAGTCCGAGAGGGAGAAAGCCCGGCAGAGAATGAGACCAAATCAGAAGACATGCCCAGCAGTGAGATGGCAAATGACTACGAGGAGAGCTCGTTTGCAGAGGGTCCTTCCGAAGCGTCTCTCACCGGTGCCCTGGTGGAAGGGAAGAGCCTGGAGGGGGATGCTGGGACCGCGGCCTCGAGAGGGAGTGACTCGGCCATGGACAGCAACGTCGACTTGACTATTGTGGAAGATGAAGAAGAGGAGTCAGTGGTCCTGGAACAGGCGCAGCAGGTGCGCTATGCGGGAGAGCACGTGCTAGCCTCCCACGAGGCAGAGCAGTCGGAGGAGGAGCCCGTGCAGCCAGCTGTGCTCCAGGTGGACCAGACTGCTTAAATGCACAGCCCTCTGTGAGCGAGCTTGCGTTTTCAGTTAGGTGGGTGACCAGAGCCTAGAAGCAAACTCCTGCACACCTCCAGCACTCCCCACTCACGCCATGTTACTGTCTAGGCCGTCATCACTTGCTCCACAATAGGCATACGCACCGTTACCGAGATTTACCATGAAGGCAGCCTGCCAGGGTCTATGCTTCTAATGTACCCTTTACTTCCATTTCTGTAGTTCCTCAAGACTACCCAGGAGAAGAAATGGAGCAGTCATAAAACACTGATCAATGCGGCTAAGTCAGAATCACCAGAGGCTATGTAAGACACTAATTATGAAATACGATTCATTTTTTGTCATTCCATGATCTTGCTGAACAGTGCATCAATAATATATTGAATTTCCATAGAACTCCGTGAATCTATATTCTTGAAGTGTGTGACTATATAATATACATATGTATTTAAGCTAAAGAGATAACTATATTTCAAGAAGAAAACACTTTTCTTAAAAGAAAAAAGTTAGAAGAGAAGGTTCACATAGTAGAAATCACTGTTTATTGAAACAGGGTGAAATGAGGGTGAAATGAAATTGAAAGACATTCAGCTAGTGAAGTAAGATATGTAGAAAAGTCAGGACTATTAGAAAAAACTAAAGAGAAGTTGGAAATAGGGAAACAGGAAACGAAGAATGCCAAAGAGAATGAAGACAGAGAGAAAAAAGCATGTGCTCAAAAGTAAAATATTTATGATATTAGTTCAAGTATTTCACCCTTATATAACAATACTAAAGAAACATATATATATTGGAATAGTGTTATATCTTCACAATATTTTTATTTTCTAATATTTTCAAATAATGTAAAAAAACATTTTACTATGTTAAAGCTGCATTTTTCCTTAATAAAAGACACAAGTACCTCTCTAAGGAAATTCAAAAGAATGTCTCTTTAACATTGGAATGAACATTAATCTTCAAACTTAATACATACTGCTTTTCTTAGGAAGTTGAATCATACTATTCTTTATTGTTTTCCAAATTTGAAATAATCCTTGCACTCCAAATGATGTAATGTAGGTTTATAAGCTGTTAGAATCAACAGGTTGGGAAGGGAAAGATTCTAGTTTTCCTTTTTTTGTACTTAATAGTATTTTCATTCCAGGTCATATTTTATTTATATATCTTCACAGAATATTGATATGTTTCTTAACTTCTTAAAGTATGCTAATGTTTATGTGTATGTGCACATGTACTCATACAGAGTAATTATTACTATTGCCTAACATTATACTAAAATATTGCTTTATTTTTAATTAAAGAATGGTAATTTTTGAGAAGACTATTATAGTTTAAAGACAGTTATATCAGAGAGCAGATTTCCTACCTTCAGTATATACCACTCACTATAAATAATCTTATAAATATAGATAATCTGAAGCAGTGTTAACAAACTATGCTTTGCCTTATAAAAGGAAGAGTATTAACAAATGTACTGATGGCATAACTGATACAGCTATGTCCTTATTTTGCAATAATGTACCCCATATGTCATATTATTGAACTAACAATGACTGCTGAAGAAGGCTAAATAAACCAAAAAATAAAAAGCATATAACAATGTCAGTTTCTTGGTGGAACAATTTTAAAACAAGCAGAAAGAACTGATTATTAACCTCTCTTCAAAATGTAGGCTGTAACGTCAGTTGTTTCAGTCTTGATTTCGTCTCTTAAATCTGCTTTCTTTTTCCCCTGATTTCATTTAGAAATCCAAGACTCATTCTTCAAGTTTAACTTTCTTGACATCACCTTGCCAGCTCTGGAGAGCATCTGAATTTATTGTAGCAGCTTGATGAATTTGATAGTTCTATTTGCATTTTTATTATTTTGTACCAGGCCTTATAATACCTCAAAAATAGCCCTGCAAAAATGAATGTGTTGAACTGTATGTATTGAACTGTACATTCACTTTATTCGCAGAGATACACCTTTGCTTTCTACAATGCCATCCAGTTGGTTGAAGACTTAATTTCACTCAGGGTCCTAAACATGCCTGTTTAACCTTTATAAGTTGCTGTTACTTCTTGCAGCTGAGGAGCTGAGAGATCCAGAGCTAATGCAATATTTACATTTCCTTTTCAAAAATGCTTATGTCACTTGTTCCTAGAAACTATCTGCATGTCAGTGAAAAACTGCACTCAGGTATCTTTTTGGATTTGACTGACAGACATTTATTCTCTATTCCTCATTTGACACATTAAAATCCTGATCAATAAAACAGAGAATCAGGAGAGATGAATGTCAGAAAATACATACTGTGGCGATTAGAGAGAGTACCGGTTGTGGAAATGAAAACTATTCTGTATTATTCTTGAATTACTTGCATACTGGTGGGGCTTCGAAGTCCCCAAATTAGTTATGTCTTCTTCACACCCATGCAATAACCCATTCCTAACATTGTGCCTGGAGCTCAAGAACTGGATTGGTTTTCCCCCAAGGATTGGTAATATGTTAATAAGCACCGAGATCCATATCTTAGAAATATAATTCAAGAATGAGAAGTGTCTATTATATGGATCTAGGCACTCTGCCTATCAGATCTAAGAGAAAAAGAAATGCAAAAAAAGCAAAATGATTGTCTGAGGAAGCCTTACAAATAGCTGAGAAAAGAAGAGAAGCTAAAGGCAAAGGAGGAAAGGAAAGATATACCCATTGGAATTCAGAGTTCCAAAGAATAGCAAGGAGAGATAAGAAAGCCTTCTATAGTGATCAATGCAAAGATATAGAAGAAAATAATAGAATGGGAAAGACTAGAGATCTCCTCAAGAAAATTAGAGATACCAAGGGAATATTTCATGCAAAGATGTGCACAATAAAGGACAGAAATGGTATGGACCTAACAGAAGCAGAAGATATTAAGAGGAGGTAGCAAGAATACACAAAAGAACTATACAGAAAAGATCTAAATGACCCAGATAACCACAAAGGTGCGATCACTCACCTAGAGTCAAACATCCTGGAATGCAAAGTCAAGTGGGCCTTAGGAAGCATCACTATGAACAAAGCTAGTGGAGGTGATGGAATTCCAGTTGAGCTATTTCAAATCCTAAAAGATGATGCTGTCAAAGTGCTGCACTCAATATGCCAGCAAACTTAGAAAACTCAGCAATGGCCACAGGACTGGAAAAGGTCAGTTTTCATTCCAATTCCAAAGAAAGGAAATGCCAAAGAATGTTCAAACTACCACACAACTGCACTCATCTCACATGCTAGCAAAGTAGTGCTCAAAATTCTCCAAGCCAGCCTTCAACAGTACATGAACCAAGAACATCCAGATGTTCAAGCTAGATTTAGAAAAGGCAGAGGAACCAGAGATCAAATTGCCAACATCTGTTGGATCATAGAAAAAGCTAGAGTTCCAGAAAAACATCTACTTCTGCTTTTGATTCTGTCAAAGCCTTTGACTGTGTAGATCACAATAAACTGTGGGAAATTCTTTAAGAGATGGAAATACCAGACCACCTTACCTACTTCCTGAGAAATCTGTATGCAGGTCAAGAAGCAACAGTTAGAAGTGGACATGGAACAACAGACTGGTTCCAAATTGGGAAAAGAATACGTCAAGGCTGTATGTTGTCACCCTGCTTCTTTAACTTATATGCAGAGTACATCATGAGAAATGCCAGGCTGGATGAAGCACAAGCTGGAATCAAGATTTCGGGAGAGATATCAATAACCTCAGATAAGCAGATGACACCATCCTTATGGCAGAAAGTGAAGAGGAACTGAAGAGCCTCTTGATGAAAGTGAAAAAGCAGAGTGAAGAAGGTGGCTTAAAACCTGACATTCAAAAAACGAAGATAATGGCATCCAGTTTCATCACTTCATGGCAGATAGATGGGGAAACAATGGAAACAGTGAGAGACTTTATTTTCTTGGGCTCCAAAATCACTGTAGATGGTGACTGCAACCATGAAATTAAAAGACACTTACTCCTTGGAAGAAAAGCTATGACCAAATGACATACGGTCATTTAATGTGACAGCATATTAAAAAGCAGAGACATTACTTTGCCGACAAAAGTCCATATATTCAAAGCTATGGTTTTTCCAGTAGTCATGTATGGTTGTGAGAGTTGGACTATAAAGAAAGCTGAGGGCGGAAGAATTGATGCTTTTGAACTGTGGTGTGGAAGAAGACTCTTGAGAGTCCCTTGGACTGCAAAGAGATCCAACCTGTCCATCCTTAAGGAAATCAGTCCTATATTCATTGGAAGAACTGATGCTGAAGCTGGAACTCCAATACTTTGGCTACCTGATTTGAAGAACTGACTCTTGGGAAAGACCCTGATGCTGGGAAAGACTGAAGGCAGGAGGAGAAGGGGAGAACAGAGGATAAGATGATTAAGTGGCATCACCAACTCGATGGACACGAGCTTGAGCAAGCTCTGGGTGATGGACAGGGAAGCCTGATGTGCTGCAGTCCATGGGGTTGCAAAGAGTCAGACATAACTGAGCAACTGAACTGATACTGATCCTGATTACATAGATCACATCTCACAGAAATACAGCAAAGATGTCATTTTTCCATGATATCTTATTTTTTAAATATATAGACATATATTTGAACAGGAATATTTTCTTCTCTCCCTTTCCATTTTTGAATCTAGTATAGGATTGCATTTCTTTTTCTAAATAAAAATAAAAGACTGGCACTAAGGCCAGTTCTATGCAAAATAAAGATTTTTTTTTTATGTTTATTGTAAGATGAACGCTCAAAATGTTTCTGCTTTGAGTGATGTTCATGTAGAAGAATAAGGTTTGACCATCCTATATTTCAGTTTACTATCGAGAAACTAAAAGCTCCTTTGACATAGCCAAGCCACTAGTGCAAGTAAAGGTTATAACAAATGTCATTTGATACATTAGGACACTAATGCCCAAGCCCAGTTAATTCTTGCTCGAAAGTTTGTTTACTGCCCTGCCGCCCAGATCCAAGTGATTTTATGTTGGAGA